TTCTACATACCAGCAACAAAAAAGGAGAAAATAAAACTTAAAATATTATTTATAAAGTAATCAACATCAACTATCTAGGAATAAATCTAACAAAAGATAAGTACAATAAGACCTAAATAAATAGAGTAATATACCATGTTTATGGATTGGAAAATTTAATACTGGAAATGTTCATTCCTTTAAAACTGACCTATAGATTCAATGCCATCTCAATTAAAATCCAAAAGGCTTTGTTTTGGAAATTGACAAGCAGATTCTAAAATTTATATAGGAATGCAAAGGGACAAGAACAGTCAAGGAAATTGTGAAAAGCAAAAACAACATGGGAAATGTACACTACCAGATACAAAGACCTATTATAAAGCTACAGAAATCAAGACAAAGTGGGTTTAGCATAAGATAAGGAACAATGGAACAGAATATAGCATCCCCAAACATACCCACACATGTACAGTCACGTGATTTACAGCAATGGTGTCGTTGATTTGCAATAGGAAAGTAATCGTATAAATGGTTATGGGTCAATTGAAAGCCCATATGGAAAACAATGTATCTTGACCCTTACCTCACACTGCCCAATAATCAACTTCAAGTAGATTGCAGATCTAAATGTGAAAGGTAAAGCAATAAAGCTTTTAGAAGAAAGCATAAGAAAATATCTTTATGATCTTGGAGTAAGCAAAAATCTATTGAGAAGGGCACAAATACTGAAAACTGTAAAGAAAAAAATAGGTAATTGGACTATATAAAGTTTAAGAAATTCTCTTCATCAAAAAATACTACGAAGTATAAGACACAAACTGGAGAAAATATTAGCAATCCATATATTTAGCAAAAAAACTTATATCTAGAATGTATAAAGAACTCTTACAAATCAATATAAGACAGACAACTTAATTGAAAAAAAGGGGAAAACTTGAATACGCATTTTGTCAAAAGATGATATTCAAATGCCCAATAAACATATAAGATGTTGAACTTCATTAGTCATCCAGTAAATTAAAATAAAAAGTACAGTGAGATAATAGGACATACCATCAGAATGGCTAAAATGAAAAAGAAAGATAATACCAAGTGTTGACAAGAATGTGGAGCAACTGGAACTCTCATACACTGCTGGTATAAGTGTACGTAGACAGTTAATTTGGAAAACTACTGCAGATGAATGTATGTATATCCTAGGACCCTGTGATCCAGCAATTCTGTTCCTAATTACACACCAAGCAGAATTCTATGTAAATTCACCAAAAGATACATACATAGAATTTCCATAGAACTACCACTATTCATAATAGTCTAAACTGGAAACTACTCAGGTGCTCATTAGCAATAAAATGGACAAATACTGGGTTGGCAAAAAAAGTTCATTTGGATTTTTCCATAAGTTGTTATGGAAAAACCCAAACGAACTTTTTGGCCAACCCAATAAACTGACCATTCTCAGAGTGGAATACCAGAAAGCAATGAGAATGAAAAAATCATAATTATGGGCAATAATATGAATTGTCAAAGACAAAACTTAGCCTGAGACAAAATGAACAAAGGTTGTTTATTCCTAAACTCGCAGCAGGAGGACCCTCTGCTGTCTCTTTCAAGAGTCAAATGTGGTAAAAAGGTGAGTTAATTTCATAGAGTAAACAGGAAACAGATAGTCTCTGATTGCCAAGCATTCTATTAAGATGGAAGTTTTGGTAGTAGAGAAGGCTTTCTAATTAGTCCTAAAGTACTTTCAACCATGGTAGGTGGACAGCAAAGGGGCCAGCTGCCTACTGCCTGCCAGAGGAAGTTCTGCCTGCATCAAATGGCCTGCAGAGCCCATGGAACCACAGTTCTGCTGCCCTGTCCCTTACTGTCCTCCAGGATATCAGCTTCCTTTTGCATCCTCCAAAGTACCACAATCTCATCTTCCTCCATCTATGAGATGCTTATATTCCAGTGGGGGATAAAGATAATTCTAGAAGGGAGTATAACATTACAAACAGAATTAAAATATGAAAGAAACGAACATATAAGAAAAGAAATTGACTAGATTGGAGGATTAGGACAGGCTTATCTGATAATGTTTGAGGTCTGAATAGTTTAGAGCAGGGGTCCCCGAGCCCCCGGCCACAGACCGGTACCAGTCCGTGGCCTGTTAGGAACCGGGCGGCACAGCAGGAGCTGAGCAGCAGGCGAGCAAGCGAAGCTCCATCTGTATTTACAGCCGCTCCCCATCGCTCACATTACCGCCTGAGTTCTGCCTCCTGTCAGATCAGCGGCGGCGTTAGATTCTCATAGGAGCGTGAACCCTGCTGTGAACTGAGCATTCGAGGGATCTAGGTTGCGCGCTCCTTATGAGAATCTAGCGCCTGATGATCTGAGGTGGAGCTGAGGCACTGATGCTAGCGCTGGGGAGCGGCTGCAAATACAGATTATCATTAGCTGAGAGGTTTGACTGCACAGAGACCATAACAAATCAATTGTTTGCAGACTCATATCAAAACCCTATCAGTGAGTGGCAAGTGAAAACAAGCTCAGGGCTCTCACTGATTCTGCGTTATGGTGAGTTGTATAATTATTTCATTATATATTACAGTGTAATAATAGCAGAAATAAAGTGCACAATAAATGTAATGCGCTTGAATCATCCCCAAACCATCCCCCTCCCCAGTCCGTGGAAAAATTGTTTCCCACGAAACCAGTCCCTGGTGCCAAAAAGGTTGGGGACCGCTGGTTTAGAGGCAGACAGAGAACAGGAGGAGTCCAGACAAATGGAACAGTATGTGCAAAGGCCCTGAAGCAAGAGAGAGTATAATCAGTATGAGGAATTGAAAGAAAGAGCATGGAAAACAGGAGGTAAGCAAGGGCCTTATAGAGCATCATGTGGAATTTGGTCTTAATACTAACATAACTGATATTTTAAGCAGGAGGTGACATATTAGTATTTCATTAGAAAAGTAAACCTCTGACTGCATGATAGATTGGAGGGCAGTTTAAATTTCAGAAGACCAGTGGGAGGCAACTGCAATGGTCCTGGCCAGAGAGAATGGGCTGGGTGGTGGGAGTGAAGATGGAGGGAGTGGAGAGATTTTAGAAGGATGTGGAAGGTACAATTGACAGAACTTGGTGATGGTTTCACTGTAGGGGAGAGAGGGAAAGGGGGGCCAAGGAGGACTCTGGGATTTTGTTGCCCTGGGTAGATGGCAGTACTTTTTCTGAGGCAGGGGCTCCCAGGTTGGGGTACAGAGTGGACGAAATAAATCAGTTGGTTTGGGCGGGTTCAATTAGAGACATCGCTGAGACGGTAAGTGGAGCGGTCAGGTAGGCAGAAGGATGTGATGTAGGTCTGCAGTTCAGAAGAGAGGGCTGAGCCACATCATTAATTACCCTTCAAACATAAGTGTTCAATTTGTCCATATTTGGTTTTTTTTAAGTTTGAGAAATTATTTCTTGATTTGCATTTCCTTTTTTCTCTCTCCCCTTTTCTTTGGAGGACTTGTTTGAATTTTTCTTTCCACCCCTCTCTTATTGTTTGTGTGCTTCTTTTGACTGAGAGGCTTCCTAAATTCATCACTTCCACCCACGCGGGATACACCCCTCACCTCTGCCACCCCTCACCTCTGCTGACTGCCTCGCTGGGTCACTGTGGGGTGTGATCAGCAGAAAAACAGATGGCAAAGGAACTGCAGATGCAAGTCATTTGGAAATGATTTGAATGTTGGAAACAGTTTGCTATTTGGGGTGAGGATCATCTTCCGGTGCAAAGGGCCTGAGCTGTTGCTGAGGGGCCTTTCGAAGGGCGTGCTTAGTGCATCTTAATCTGCAGGCGTGGGCTTGAGTCCGTGACCTCCTTCGGAGGAGCACGTTGTTTGATAGATCCTGGCTCCCAGCAGGTAGTCACACAAAGCTGGTGGACAGGCGAGAGAAGGGAGAAAGTTCAGCAGAGAGTTGGCTTCCAAGCACATATAAAAGCACCTAAGAATAATTTTTGAACGAGTCAGGCAATTCAGAGTGAATAGAGCCAGCTGCTCCTTCTAAACAAACTTTACTAGACAGTATTGATTTGGACTAGAAACTGAGAACCTTCTTGGGATCTATCTGGATCCTGAGTCCAAGGAGATTTCACAGTAGGAAAACAAGGATTCCAAATGCTTCAGCTGGTGGAATGTTCTAAAAGATTAGTACATTGGTGCTTAGTTCCAGTATTTAAGAAATTTGAAAGGAAGACGCTCAGGAAGACTTGTCTATATTGCTTAACAATTAATGTTATAAAAAACTGAGGCAGAGGGGAAAAATGTGTTTTCCGCAGGAAAGTCATTTTTTTTTTTGCTTATCAAATTGACCTCCACTCTGGGAAGTCAAATTTTGGCTCTTTTACCCTCAGTAATTTCTGTGCAGTAGGATGTGATGAAAGGGGTCTGGCCTGGGGCCCAGATATCACTGGATTATTGCTGGCTGTGGAGTGGGGTGGGAGAATTGTCTGCTCGGCTGTGACAGCCCAGGAGAAACCTCGCTTTAGAGACTCAGGCTGCTGTTTTTATGGTTGGTGGGATCTAGTTTGTTATGTTCCTAAACAGTTTTCCAAATGAAATTTCTAGGCCAACTTGCCGCTTTTACTGAGATTTCTTTCCCACGTGGAACTCTACTACTGTGTGTGATGTAAATGTTCAGTATAAACAAATATGTAAGTTATTTGTGTATCTTTATGTGCGTGACCAACATTTAGTTCTTACTGGGGGCCAGGTATTGTCCTAAGTGTTTAGAGGGTATGAAACCATTTAATGCTTACATTAATATTTTAAGCTTGTTGCTTTTATAATTCCCACTCCGTGGATGAATAAACTATAGCCTAGATGGGTCAGTTACCTGGCCAAGGCCACAAAGAGGGTGAGCAGTGGGGGCCAGGGTGTGACCCAGTGCTGTCCACCTCTGGGACCTGCTTTCTCTATTGCTGCACCTCTGCATGGAAGAGGGAAACATTTTTAAGTGTGTAGTCCCAATGGTGTTTTATTTTTTCTTAGGAGTGACTGGGTAACGTCCTATAAGGTCATGGTGAGCAATGACAGCCATACATGGGTCACTGTTAAGAATGGATCTGGAGACATGGTGAGTCTCTTTTCCCTCCGACCACGCCCTTGGTGTCTGGCTGTGCAGGGCTTGGCAGAGGCAGTGGACACCCGACCAGTGTTTGCACCTGGATGTTGCCTGGTTCTGTGTCAACCCAGACCAACCGTCCAGTCTGATGGATAATGACCCCCTTCCCATGCCCTGAAGCTTGGAACCAAGAGGCCCACACTTAGGGCTCAAATTCAGAGCTGCTGGAATTCAGTCTCTTCCACAAGTCACAACTCAGCCCTGGAAGGTCAGAGGCCTATGGGGAATGTTGGGGCCTGCACAGCTAGTCATTTATAGTAGTTCCCGAACTTTCTTTAACGACCGTGGTCTTTCAGCGCCACGCTTCCCTCCGGGTTAGCCAGTTCCGATCCTATCACCCTCTTCCTCGGGTTCTCAAGTGCAAGTGCCAAACATGGTATCCAGCGCCTTCCAAGATCTGACGGCAGCCTCCATTTCAACCTTCTTTATCATACTTAGCGCGCCCCGCCCCGCCCCCCCACCCCAACCCTGCACACACTCCTCTGTGTTCCAGTAACAGGGAGATGGTTGCTCTTGTCCTGAATCCCCTCTCTGGGCTTCTCCAGCCATTGCTTCCTTTTCTTTACAATCCCTCCCATCCGTACACATCTAAAGAGTTTTCCTTCAAGGCCCATTCAAATGGCACCTCATCCCTGAAGCTTTGCCTGGTCCTTTCCTTCTTATGACATCCCAGAGCTTTGTGGATGTCTCTTTGCCGTGGCACTAATAGATTTCACCTATGACATCTAACTATAACACCCCTCCTCCTCCCTGCCCCCCCCCACTAGACTGGGGCTTCCTGAGGGCAGGGTCCAGGCCTGATCCATTTCTCCTTCCCCCTCAATGCCCAGCTCACGTTAGGTGTTGCTCGAGATCTTGTGGAATGAGTGAATTACTGACTCTTTCATGCCCTGATAATCAAGCTCTAAAAGATTCTCTTTCTTTCCCCTTGTGCATAAATAGATATTTGAAGGAAACAGTGAAAAGGAGATTCCTGTCCTCAACGAGCTGCCCGTCCCCATGGTGGCACGCTACATCCGCATAAACCCACAGTCCTGGTTCGATAATGGGAGCATCTGCATGAGGATGGAGATCCTCGGCTGCCCGTTGCCAGGTGAGTCTGCCCGTGCTTCCTGCAGGGCAGGAGTGCTGATGGAGCACAGGTGCTTAGCCAGCAAGGTGAATAAAAGTAAGCCACACAATCTTTTTCCCATGTAAAAAAATACCACATCTATTGCAGAATATTTAGAAAACATAGGTAAACAAAAAGAAAATAAATACAAATCTCCCATAACCCCACTCAGAAACACCATGAACGTTTGGTGTATTAAAGTAACATGTCGGCTGTGGTTTTGCCTACTGGGATTTTAAGATGATATATGTTGCAAGGTTGAAAATCCACTCAAAGCTACTACTCAGAAGCAGGCAAAGAAAAAAAATTAGATAACATTTTTTTTGGTAACACATTAAATTGCCCTTGACTGCTCCTGCTACACTGGGTAGAGGAGATGGTAGGAGTTAATTTTAAACTTGACCATGTACATAGCCTCTCCGTAAAAGTAACTTCGCTCGGGTGCCTGTGTCTTTGGGAAAATGCTTGCTCCTTTAGGCTGTGTTCCCCTTGCCCTGTCTTCACATCATGGTATCTGGGTGTGACCCCAGAGTGACAGGAAGATGGGGGCTTGGGTTCACACGTGGACCCTTTGCTGATGTCTGCTCTGGACAGGCTGACCTTGTTTGGCTTGCTGCTCTGTCGGCCTTTCAGAACTTATGAGTTTGTGTGCATACGGAGCCTTATGTGGCAGCCTCTTCATCCTGTCCAGACATCTCCAGGGAAGGAAGCTGGACTCCAGAACATTCCTAAGGCCCTTCACTAGGGCCTCTAGGAATTTCCACTTTCCTGTCCACCCACAGTCAGGCCATAGGGAACAAGGAGCACAGCTTCTGGTTATCTTTCCTATACTTTCTCCTCCAGGAAAGCCTCAGCTTTCTTGTCTAGTGAGAGAGTCAGGCCTTGCTACCTCTGGATTCGCCCTGCCATGGGGAAGGGGACCACCAGCTCTGATGTCTCAGGTGCTTCTATATCCATCACGCTATTTCTATAGCCATCCCACCCCCCACACCGTGAACTTACAGTTACTGAGTTTTGGGAGCATATTTCATGTCGTTTATTGCTTTTCCCTCAATACCGTAATATCCATGATCTTGCTTTGCCAAGTGTGAATTTATAGAACATACGCTCTGTATTGCTGAGAAAGATGGGTCTACCTACCTACCTACTTACCCTCACACCAGACAGATTCTTTGTTACATATTTGTGCTTACTAGACGGCAAACTTTTTTCATGTCATTTAAACTATTAGAGACCATCTGTCTTGTGGATGCTTTTATCTTAGTCTGTGGACAATATCTCATGTTTTCAAACTGCCTCTTATAGTTAGAAGTTCAGTTGTGTCCAGTGTTTTGATTCTCTACAGAATCCCACAGTGAGTATCTTTGTTTCTGTGTCATTGTGTGCGTCCAAAATTATTGTGTAAATTATGGGGTTATTGTGCAAATAAGGTTACGGTGGCTGGGATTGCTGGTGGAAAGGAAATATGTGTTCCCAAGGATGATCCAGAGAGAATGTTGAAGGCTTCCCAATTTGGGATCTGGGCCTCCTTTTGCAGCCTGGGATGACAGTCGCCTGCTGCCGCCCAGGGCCTGCTGGGCTTTCCTGAGTTCACTGCGTCTGCAGGCACAGACGTAGGCGGGGGTCTGTGAGGCCTTCTTTGTGCCAGGTCACTCAGCACAGCCTTGGTCTGCTTGCTTTAAAAAGCAGGGTCACGGTTTCTCTCTGAGGGCGGGAATTCATCTGTTGTTGGTAAAGGGCAAAGGGCAGCCTGTGAGAGTCTCATGAAATAAATATTTTCCTGTTAAGTTATTCTTGGTGTGTGTATGTTTGAAGATAGGTCCTGGGGGCAGTTTAAACACAAAGACAGAATTACAGTGTGAAATCTGGATGGGTTTCAAGTATGCACTTGGAATAGTTCTATTTTCCAACCCTGAATATTTAGGGCCATTTTTCTTCTAGAAGTTACTTAGCAGTCTGCCCAGAGGGGAGCTGGCCTTTGTGCATGCCGCCTGGTGGTGGTGACATCTGAGGGCCTGGGGTGGCACAGGGGCCCCATGTCCGTGTGGGTAATTGAACCTTGCTCAGTTGCCTTGTTGTCGACACGATTCCTTTGTGCAAGTTAACGAGGCCAAAGGCAGGGGTGACCCAAGCAACTCAGCCACTCAAACCCAAGGTGACTTCGTGTTCTACATGCAAACGCCCAGAGTCTGTTCTTCCTGGAGCTCTTGTTTATGAAAAATTCATTTACCTTTGCTTCTGCTTCTTCTTTGTTCTGTCCTCCCTGTCTTCCTGTGGACTCTCAGGTGGGAGCAGAGGAAGGGGAAGATTCTTTTTAAGTCTTCATGAATAATGTGTCCAGAAATTTTTGAACTAGAAAATGAATTACCTTATACCATGGTCTATTAATAGGATTTTTAAAATTCAAATAGAAAAGGGGGAGTATTGTTTCATGGTTATAGTTTCAGTTTTGTAAGATGAGAATGTTTTAGAGATTTGTTTCTACAACAGTGTGAATATATGTAACACTACTCGACAGTACTCTTGAAAATGGTTAAAATGGTAAATTTTATGTTATGTGTGTTTTACCATGATTTAAAAAAATTTTTTAATTCAAACAAATCTTTTAAATGTTGTTCATTTTTTTTTAAAAGTGAAAGGAAGTCCTCTTCCCCAAATTTGAATGGACTTGTCCATTTTGGACTAAGGATCTATGCATATCAGAAACTCTGGGGAGAGCTTCCTAAGATAAATTTTTAATAATGAAGAATTCAGGTGAAGACACACGCCAGCTGACTTCCAGATCACAGCCTTGGTGGTTTTCAGGTTATTTTGCTGTTGCAAACAACACTGCAATGTGCTCTGCCTCTTTCAAAAAAGAGCTCCATTGTTCTGCACACGATTTCTCCACAGGGTGACAGGACTGTGCCCAGGGTCCTGGGAAATAACCCTGCAGGGCAGGGGGTGGCAATGCTTGAGCCCCTGGTGCTGGTCTGCAGCTTCTATTATGAATGTGAGACTCTGACCTCTTGGGGGAAAGTCTTCACTCCTCCCACCTCGTCTTCCTGGCCACCAGGTCTGAGCAACTGTCCTCTCTCTGCACAGTGCCAAGGGGTCCAGGGTCTTGAATTCGACCCAGAGGAGCTTGTGGTGAGCTGTACAAAGATCTGTGGAAAGGAGCTTGTGTTCCTCAAGCATGGAGGAGCTGCTAAAGGGCAGTGCCCGTGAATCATTCCTTTGGGCAGGCCAGGACCCGTTGAGATGCTGTGTCTCCTTTCTCTGAATACACATACCCTCCATTCATAAGCCACTGAGAAAATGTTTTAATTGTAAGACCACCACCAATCTCACTGAACTGTAATAATGTTTCAGCCTGCCCCACCCCCTCTCAACAATTTGTATAAATTGGGGGAAGGATGGGTTCTATTGGATCAGCATAGCTGCAAGGACCTTTTAAATCTATTTGCTTTACTACCTTCCACTTTTCTTCACCAAGTCAGGCCACACTCCCCCCAAAATTCATGTCCACGTGGAACCTCAGAATGTAACCTTTTGTTGGAAAGAGGCACTTTGCAGATGTGAGTAGTTACGATGACATCATACTGGGTTAGGGTGGGCCTTAAATCCAATGACTGGTGTCCTTAAGAAGAGAAAACAGAGCCACACAGGGAGAAGGCATGTGATGACTGAGCCACAGACTGGAATCCTGAGGCCACAAGCCAAGGATTGCTGTCAACCGCCAGAAACTGGGAAGATACAAGCAAGGATCTTCTCTGAGAGCCTTGAAAGTGCACGGCCCTGCTGACAGTTTCATTTCAGACTTCTGTCCTTCAGAACTGTGAGAGAAGAAATTTCAAGCTACCTAGTTTATGACACTTTGTTATGGCAGCCCTAGGAAACCAGTACACTAACAGATCCAAAGATGGCATAATGCTCCATAATCATCCTCAGTCCTGAGGATGTGCTTTTCATTTACCACTCGCTCCACCCTACCCTCCATTCTCTGTTCCTCCGTAGTCATAAGGTAATAGCATCACAGCATAAAGTGGGCCTCTACTCAGAGGGTGAGTCACCTGGGCCCTAGAAAGTGCTATCTTTTTGTAACTAGCCCTTTCTAAATAACTTGATTGGAGTATCCATCCATCCATCCATACATCCGTTCATTCCTCACTCATTCATTCATGTATCAAACGCTTCGGGAGCATCCGTTCTGAGTCAGGGCCCAAGGATTCTGAGATAAGATGCCACAGTTGCTGCTCCCAGAGCTCTCGCTGTCCAGTGGGGGAGGCGTGGCGGCGTCTTTTCCCCAGTGGATCCCTCTCAATTCAGGGGGCTCCAGGCTTGCTGGCTGCAGCCTGTCCCCGCTGTCGCAGAAGGCATCTTGCCCTTCTGAGTTTAAATAAACGTGTGATTTCTCTTTGTCCAACTGCCTGATGTTGATTATCTTAGGAAACTGTGTAAACAGCAACACTCTTGAAAATTGTCTTTCCTGACAGTTTCTCCTGTCAATCAGGCCACAGATTGGCCCTGGGACTTCCTGGAGAAGGTGCGCCAGCCAAGAAATCAGAGGATTTCCTGGACTCACGCAAGCAGCGTGGTGGAGATGCTATGCGGTGGGGTTATATGAGGCGGGGCAGCAGGAAATAAGCATGAATGATGTGCTGCTCCCTCTTCGGAGCCACAAGGAGCTGTGGGTTTGATGCTTGCACTGACAGTAATGACCTAAGATCGTAACGGGCTCTGCCTGGGGGTCCACGTCTCCCCCTTGCCCCTTTTGGAGTGACCTTGTCATAAGAACAGTCAGATGGCGCTGGACAAGTGCGACTTCTTATTAGGGAGCCAGCTCTTTGCAGAAGGGGTTTGGTGCTGTTTGCGTATGGTACCAGGTCATCTGTGCTCAGGGCTCTGTGCTGGGGGTGTCGGGGCTTCGGGAGGTCACAAGGCCACAGTGGTGGGCATTTCCTTGGGTGAGGGGCTGGCCTCGTGGCAGGGAAAGAAAGAGCTGTGGTGGCTACGTTTCTAGTATCCTCCTTAGTCCTCAGAGAGCACTTGGAGGCCAGCAGTGTCTTTTTAAATGAGGTGAAATTCACATAACATACAATTAAGCTTTTTTAAAGCATACAGTTCAGTGCTAGTATTTTCACAAGGTTGTATGATCACTGGCTCTTTCTAGTTTCAGAACTTTGTCATGGACCCAAAACCAACCTGGACCCACTGAGTAATCACTTCCGGATCCCCCTCCACGGGGTAGCCTCTAATCTGCAATGTCTCTATGGATTTGCCTGTTCTGGATAAAGCGTGTCTTGAGACTAGCGATTGTAGATTGCAGTGAGCCCCCTTTCCAGGAAAGATAGCCTTTCCTCTCCCAGCTGAGCACCCGCAAAGCAGGGTCCCAACCCCCAAAGCAGCAAACAGCTGAGCAGAACGGTCCAAGAATGGTGGTGTTCCCTTGGATGTCCGGTAACAGGGTTTGGTCTGCATAGTGTAGTGAGCTGGTGCCGGATTTGGGATGAGAATAGCGAGTGTCCACATCAGTGAGGAGCTGGGAACGTTCAGGGTGTGGACTCGTTTCCAGGGCTGCCGTAACTAAGTACCAAAAACCAGGTGGCTTAGGATAACAGAAAGTTATCGTCTCACAGTCCTAGAGGTCGAAGTTTGAGATCAAGGTGTAGCAGCGCTGGTTCCTTCTGACGCCATGAGGGAGAGTCTGTTCCTTGCCTCTCCCCCAGCTGCTGGTGGTTTGCTGTGTAATTTTTGACATTCCTCAGCTTGTTAGATGCATCACCCCCATCTCTGCCTTCACTGTCACATGGTGTCCCCTGCGTGCTTCTCTCCGTGTTCACGTTTCCCCTTTGGATAGACACAGTCATAATGGAATAGGGCCCACCCTAAGGACCTCATGTAAACTTGATTAGCTCTGTAAAAACCCTCTCTCCAGATAAGGTCACGTTCTAAGGTCCTGGGGATTAGGACTGCAACATATCTTTTCGGAGGGGGGCCATCATTCAACCCAAAAGAGGCTTAATGAGTAGACCCGTTGGGACGGAACAGGACTTTGAGTCACCGAATAAGAGACGTAAGGTTGGGAGGGCAGTTTTAGACTCCATGTGCCCCGTCTGCAGTTTGTCTATTCCCATTACTAAGGTGTTCCAGAAGGAATCAGCTGGTTTTCAGTACATCTGATATATGAAACCAGCCACATGAAAGGAGGCAGGAGACTGATTCTCCAAAGCTCCATCTGCAAGGATAAAAGCCTTGCAGACTAAATCCGGGCTTCTGATTCAAATGTCGGAAGTCCTACTCAGATTACCTTGGGAGGGGTCGGGGGAGAAGGAAGATTTTTGCTCACAGGAATGAAAATTCCCGGGGTAGATCTGACTCTGGCTTCAGGTAGGAATAGGTCTGCAATCTCAGGGCTTTCTTGGTGCAGTCAGGGCTCCTCTCCCACCACCGTGCAGGCAGGAAGCTTGGCCACTAACACCCCAAACTCATCCACCATGTGAGTGACGCCAGCAGGAGACCCTCGTGGGGAGGAGCTCTGGGAAGGAGTCGTCTTATCAGCCCAGCTTGGATCCTGGGACCATCTCTGAGCCAGTGGCTGTGACCAGAGGATGTGTGTTTTCATTGGCTGAACCTGGGTCACACGCCCATATCTGTGAGTGCTGGGCAAGGCTATTCCATTGGAAGCATCTAGAATAGATTCCCCACAGGAGACTGGCATTCTTTTGTCCACAGAAGAGAGAAGGGGACAGTGGGTTTGGCTGACTAACGGGGTGGGTTTGTAGACTATGGGCCCCAGGGAGTGGGGGGGGGGGGGCTTTGTTCTCACTCCTTACCTACAGTGTTGGGGCCCTGATAGGTTCTCAATAAAACTTTATCCAATCAGAATAAGTGGACAAGTTTAGAAGTATTTGTTCGAAAGGTGGAAGACTGAAGGTTGTGAAAATGTTCAGCTGTGGTTCTGAGTCAGTTCTGGAACTTGTACCCATATCCTCAAATTGATTTAGTCTCAAGGAAGGAAGGATGTTGCCAAACATGGGGATCTTCCTACGTTGAGTTGTGAGTTTGTCTTCAATCCTTTTTAAGAACCTTGAAGGCATAACTTGCGTTTGAAGACAAAAGGGGCTTTTCAAGAAGAGTCTTGGAAAGAGGCCCCTGGGACTTGGGGGAGGGGTGTTGAATAGCTCTAAGGAATCAGCAGTGTAAAGTAATTCAGTGTAAAGTAATGTGAAAATGTGCCTTTACCTTGGCTTTGAAACATACAGGTTTGGAAATCAAAGGGCAGGAGGCTTGTTGGAGGGTTCGGTCAGCCTGCACTCCCCAAAGCAGAGAACTTGGAACATAACTGGGGGCCTTTGCTGAACCTGAACTACTTTTGCTTTCTTTCTGGAACAGAATGGCAGTTTGCATTTTTTCTTTTTCAGTGGTGATTATTTGTTTCTAATAGTGTTACTGGGAAACCTTCTGTGAATATTAAACACCGAGTCGTTTTTGGTGCGTGGGTCTATATGTGATTTTCAACGTGCCGCATGTGGCCACAGTTCTCAAGGGTGAAGCCAGTCTCTATGGGCCCCTCGGCAGGTAGGTTCCAGGTGGCAGTCACGCCAGGTGGCTGTGGATTGCAGACAGGCAGCCAGCTCACGTGATCGCAGATGTGTGTGATGTGCACCGCGGACCTCAACCCTGCTGGCAGTGCGCTCAGTACTTTAACACGGTGCTTCTCAAACTTCTGGATTTTTTAAAATGTGGATTCGGATTCAGTAGGCGTAGGCTGCATCTTACAAGCAGCCAGTGTTGCTGGTCTGTGGCCTTGATTGGTGGCACGAGTTAGGACTCCCTGCTCCTAATACCACTGGGAGCTGCTGTTCGTCCTCCCATCACCCGCCACCGCCATCACCTCCAGAATTATCCCTTGAGCCACTTGGATCAAACAGCTACTATGGTTCCAGCTTTGCTCACGTGGTTCCGGAGTTAGTAGGTTAACTTGTCTAAAGCACCATGTGCTCTCTGCCTTGGGGAGGGGTCTGAGCTGACTGGGATTTCTGGCTGCATGGAGCTGGCGCTGGAGATGGCAAGCCTGGCTGAGGCTCTGTAAGCCTCCGACTTTTTGTCAGGTCAGGAGAGGGCCCACTGAACGGTCCCTCCCCCCTCATCCCCCTTCCAGCTCTTCCTGTTCCCTTGCCCCTCCTTCCTTCTCAGTGCTCTTTGTTTTTGTAATTGTATAAACGACATCGGCTTATAGGAATTAAAGAAAAAAGTCAATTTATCTGGAAGAGAATTAAGTCAAGAGCAGACATCTCCTCCCCAGTCCTCAGGGGTCACCACTGCTAATGCACCCTGATTATGCCTGTTAGGGTGCTTCAGCCCCAACAGCAGAAACCCCAGCTCCCACTGGCTTAGCAGTTCAGGGAATTCTTTATCTCAGGTGACTGGAAGTCCCAAGGGAGGTTGATGGGGATCTAGGGTTGGTTCACTCAGTAGCTATTGAGGTTCTCTCTGTCCTCTACTCTGGAGAGATTCTCGCTTACTCCTCTGTGCCATTAAAGTCCTTCCCTTCAATCTGGACCAATAACAGTGGCCAGGAGTGCTATGTTCTGATTGGCTTAGACCAGTCATGTAGGACCCCTGGAGCTTAAGGCATGAGGTCAGTTTCCTAGAAGTGGAGAAGTGGGGATTCCCAGACAACACAGGGCTTCTGTTAGGAAAGATGAAAGTGGACTGCATGCTGGGCAAGCAAATGATAGAGTCCACCACACTTCTGAAAATTTCCATGCAGTTGTGATATTCATTCACTCATTCATTCATTCACTTATTCCTTCCTTCATTTAGTGTGACTGTTTGCCAGGCACTAATACTAACAGTAAACCAGTGAGGGAGGTACCAGTGTTCCCCTGTTTATGGGTGAAGACACTACGGAGAAACCGCTCAGTGACTTATCCAAGGTCACACAGCACACAAGTAGAAGACATTGGAACCCAGGCATTCTGGCTCCAGGCCCATGCTCTCCCCACTGGGTAGTTCTGACTCTTAAGATGCTTCTTGAAAGTTGGCTCTCTTACCTCTATGCGAAAGTTAGAAGCTGGAGGTTGAGCTGTGTTCCCACACAAATCAGGCACCTAACACAGCCACCACAAGTAATAGAATAATGTGAATGAATTCAAAACCATATTTCTGTCCCTAGATCCAAATAACTATTATCACCGACGGAATGAAATGACCACCACCGATGACCTGGATTTTAAGCACCACAGCTATAAGGAAATGCGTCAGGTAAGATCCAGGTTTGTCAAAGAGAAATCTCTCCTGTGCCCAGAAGCACGTAGGTGTTTGTTTTTGTGCTTTTATGGTTTGTTGAAGCCACAGGAAATGCTTGTAGTTTCGAGGCTGAGAATGCCTTGGCGTTCAGGTGACCAGAGGAAACCTCCCTCGCCAGCAAGTGATTGAAGCAGAATTCGAAGCCAAGCTTTCAGATTTAATACTATATTTCTTCCACCTACACTGTTGGTGGAAATGTAAATTGGTGACAGCCACTATGGAAAACATTATGGAGGTTCCTTAAGAAACTAAAAATAGAGCTACCATATGATCCAGCGATCCCATTCCTGGGTGTATATCCAGAAAAAAATGAAGACTCTAGTTTGAAAAGACTCATGCACCCAAATGTTCAGAGCCAAGACGTGGAAACAGCCTAAGTGCCCATCAACAGACGATTGGCTTAAGAAGATGTGGTATATGTATATACAATGGAATATTAGCCATAAAAAAGAATGAAATATTGCCATTTTCAGCCACATGGGTGGATCAAGAGAATATTATACTTACTGAAGTGAGTCAGAGAAAGACAAATATTATATGACATCACTTATGTGTGGAATCTAAAAAATAATACAAATAAATCTATATACAAAATGGAAACAGACTCACGGACATAGAAAACAAACTTATGGTTACCAGAGGGGAAATGGAGAGGGGGAGGGATAAATTAGGAGTATGGGATTAACAGAGACAAACTACTATATATAAAATAGATAAGCAACAAGGATTTACTGGATGGCACAGGGAATTATAGTCAATATTTTGTAGTAGCCTATAATGGAAAATAATGTTCCATACATATATATAAAACTGAACCACTTTGCTGTGCTCCTGGTACATCGCTGTGTGTGTGAGTGCTGTCACTGATTTAAGGACAATAGTCATGTGCAGAGTCGAAGAAGAAAAAGAACCCGGAACAGCACTGGTGATAATAATAGCAGGAAGCTCTCACGTACGACCTACATCAATTTCCCTAC